ACGGCTTGTAGGTCCGGGGTCCGTCGGGGTTCCAGGGATTTCCTTCGTAGGGTACACCTCGTTCCCCGGCTACCACAAAAAAAAATACAGGCGTAACAATTGGCGGTCTTATCGCTCATGCCTATCTCTAACAGACAACCTTAATACGGCTATTAAGTATTTAAAAATTTAGGGTAGTTACGTATATGTAACACGTAACATATTATTATGTGAATATTTAAAAGTTAAAACATTCATACACAAATATAATCCATTCATATTAATTAAATATACGAAATAATAATTTGAATTAAAATAATTATAATATTCTACACATAAATTCACACATATAAAATAATCATAGTTTAGATCTTTTGAATCATACCTATAGGGTAAATAATACAACAATTGGAGCACGGGTCACGGTCTCCGTGTTTCACCCAGGTGGAGAAGCTAGGTGAAGCACGGGTCCGCCCACCACGCTAGTACGCGTTTGACTACTGATAGGTGTAGGGGCCCTCCTATAGAAGCATGTGTTCTGTGTCTGCTTGTTATTTTATCCATTATTATATTTAGAAAGATATAGGGTGTTTGTTTGGCAATTACGTGACTGGTTGGCGGCAATAAGCTTGCGCCCCATTATATAAGTGGGACTAAAATTACAGTTAGCAAAAATGTGGACGCGTGTGACCCCTATGCCTACTCCTTCTAATAGTTATCAGTTTATATATAAAGTTAGTTAGTACCGTTTTTTTTTCTTTGTCAAGCGATTTTCCAATTCTTTTGATTGTAAATTTGGTATGCCTGATGTTTGAGCTACCATAGCTTCACATTTCACTACCCAACGATGCTGTAACGCTTAGAAATTGTATTACTTTCAAGCTTCGATCAATAATAGTACTATTATTGATCGAAGTTTTCGAAGCTTTCGAAGCGATCGAAGCTTCGATCAATAATAGTACTATTATTGATCGAAGCTTTCAAGCTAGTTTATACATAATGCTTCTAAAATATCATTGCAATTCTTAAGGCAACGTTATGCGCCTTTTACATTAACTTAGAAATTAAACGTATGGTAATAGTATTATCCCAAAATAAACAGGTGGACGTTTATATTTGTCAATTTTAAATAAACTTTACTAACCAGTATTACTAAACAAACACCTCAATAAGAATTTAAATCACTTGGTACTTTAAAGCGCACTCTATTTAACCCCCAGCCCTTAATTTCAGAGTCCCTTTTGAGTCATGTACCACCAGAAAGCCAATTCTCGGAATTCTCGGAACAGATCGGTTTCAATTCGGTTACGATCTCACAACTATCCTTAAAAGTATTTCGTAGTCAAATAGTAAAGTATTACTAAGACTAACAGATTACCGATTCAATTTTCAGTTTTACGGTACGGTAAAATACGGTATAATCACATTACAGTCAACGTGGGATGTTAAATACTTTACTACAAAATACCTTTTATGACAACTGTGAGATCGAATGTTGATCGGGAACTGAATTGAGACAGACTTAGTCCTGTTGCCCTATTCAAAACTTTCTAGGTTTGGGATAGTTGCAGTAAGGAATAAATAAATATTTTCGGACATCTGACACATAACGCCATCTAGTTTCAAACTCAGAGAGCTTGTAGGTACTGCGAAAGTGAGATTGACTGATGGAAAACTTATATACTTGTTTTTGTAAACACATACATATTATACATAGAAAACGCCCAAACTCCGAAACAAATATTTGCAATCATACAAACATTTGGTCCGACGTGAATCGAATCGAATGAGGCAAGAATACACATATGGTTTTATTATGAGTATTCCTTACTATAATTTACCTCCATACTTTTACGCGTCTTATAACAATTGCATTCTCAAAGAAAGTTGGCGTCCAACTGGCGGACGGGCCATAAAAGAAACCAGCCATATATACGCGTACCACAAAAAAATATCCCAATTGAAATAAGAGGACTAATCATTACGTATATGGTACGCCTGAGTGAGAATTATAATTCTGGAGTGGTCAAGAGTAGAGTGAACAGTTTTCTCTTGGCTATGTTCACTTTTTTTTAATACTTTATGCGCATACAAACGTGACAAAGGTTTACTTAAAGCCGTAGGCATTTTCTACCAGTCAACCTTAGGGTGATGCAGAGCTAAAACATGGTAGATGCACAGAAACTAAAAAAGAGATTTTGTGATGTAGAGACTCCCACATACAAAGAAATAGAAACATACTACAGCGCCATCTAACGAAGGCACAATGAACTACGGAGTAACTCCTGAATGAGATTATCTAATCTTGTATCGCGATATCAAGAATTTTCTCGACGATTGGCATATATATACAACTTCCCAACACCTCGCCTGGTAGGTTGTTTAAATTTTGTCGTAACTTGTTTGAAGACCTAAGGTTTTTAGTGTGGTTTGCACCTAAATATTGAAATTGAGTAGTTAGGTAGGAAGGAGAATTTGGAGAGCAGAGTAAAGAATAAAAGGTAGTTAGTGGCCGTGTCTTTCTACGTTGGCAAATGAGGGTTTTCTGAAATGTTCCACGTGAGATGGCAGCACTGTAGCGTCAGGTCCAACCACCTGTCAAAACACATACACGATTTGTATTTTTCGATCATTTTTTTGATTTATTCATTCTAAATAACGTTACAAAAATATTGTTTTCTAAAATGCCACAGTTGTGCAGTGCCTATGTGTGCAAATAAAACTTTTGCGCCTCTCTTTTTGAGCTCAATCTTCAGTTCGGCAACCTTTCTCTGGCCGTAATCTATAATAAACTCAATAACACTTCCAAATTCATAGAATCGTTCGGTAATAATCTGTGCTATCTGACAGCTGTTTGGACCTGACGCATACGAAGCGCCGTTTGGTGGCAGAAAAAATATCGAAAACCCTCATTGGAAGCCACTGCAAGTGAAAGCGATGGTCAGACACGTGATAATATTTATGTGAAGACGAGTCGAATACAATTATTGAGAAGACGGTCAAGCTTATTGAGCAGATCTGCATTCAGGTCCAAGTAGCACACATCACCATAGTCGATTATAGGGAATATGAGGGTCTGAACAAGCATTACCTTAGTTTTTGTTGGCAGAAAGTTCTTCGCATATTCACAAACGGCCGTCTGATCTCAAACTAGACAGAGCCTGTACTATAGCTACCAGACTGCTGGACATAAGCCTCTCCTGAGAAAGGAGGTTTTGGCCTCCTATACCACGCTGGCCAGACGGGTTGGTAAAGGGTTTGTGTCAAGTTTTCCTTCTCTCTGCAGTGCTGTTGTCCTGCTTAGTTTTTTCCCTGCTGATAAACATACTGAAATATTTCGTCAGACACAGAACAAATGATCGTGCTCATCACACAATTATGCATCCTGGATGAGATTTGAACTCACCACCTCTGGCATAGTAGTCAGGGTCAGTATCTTCGACACTCTCCATTAGGCAATGGAGAAGTGAAAAGGTATTATATTATGGTTGTTTTAAGGATAAGAGGATATGGAATAAATAAAACAGCTATTGAAGAAATACAATTTTATTGATACAATTTGATACAGTGTCTGAGAAAGAATTTTGTTATGGGAATATTACATCAACATTCCTACTTGATATAACTTTATTGACAAGACATCCTTAAAATGGGCCTTAGGCATTGCATACACGGAGCGTATAATCTGCCGCACGGGGTCAACCCGACTGTTTAGGACAAATAGTTCGTTCCAAATTTCTTAATTGAATTACTGATTGGTTATGTAATTTTCTCTTATTAAATATACCGAACTAAAGGTTCTTTAAAAATAAATAATCCGACATCATTCGGCTGATCATACGCTTTTGTATCGTCTTGGTTGTTGTTTTTAGTATTACACAATGTCAAATTACTAACTAATAGTACTTAAAATTAACTTATGATATCAAAATGGATAACTTTTGATGAGGATATATTTCATGTACCACCATTACAATTAAAATGATCTAAATCAAATTTCTAGAAAGTTATAGTCACTAGTAGTTTTAGGACTAGTCTCTAAAACCCTTTTGGGGGATATAGAGGTCCCAAGTTATATGAATAAAGATGAGAGAAAGGAATGATATCCAAAATATGTAAACGAAAGAGTTAACCTATATTATGAGTCACCGCTGTTGATCACACATTATCCCCTATTTGCATTTTTGAGTTTGATTTTTGTAATGGTGTAGAAGCAAACGCAGCAGGTCCCCTCATGGTAACTGACCACCACCGTCAATGGACACCTACTTGAGAGTCACTAGTGCATTGCTGGCTTTGAGCCTTCCTGTCAGAATTATTGGGAGGGGGTTGGGGGCTTTCTCGTAATCTCGCTGACTCAATAAAATGCAACGAAGGAATTGCTTACCAGCAGTATTCTGTGGTATCAAACCGGTCCATTTGTACCGAAGAACGGCCCTCCCGCCTACGCTTTTGTTTTTGAAGATTTTCTTACACATTACTCACAAATTGCATTTCTGGGTTGAGTTCATTATCATTCTAAATGTGCGATCTTATTTACTCAAATAAGTCTATTATGATCCGTATTAATAAGATTATTAAAACCATTAACGTGTCATAATGTTTCTTCAACTTTTTCGTAATAATGATGTTCCAAGACCAGACTTAATTTGAATATATTCAATAGATATTAGTATTTAATCTTAAACTATTAGGATACAATTTCACCCGATCAAAGATGAGAGAGAAGTGTCACACAAAACTATCAGTGACTTAATAACAATGTCAGTACAATGTGGACATACCCTTATTTAACAATTTTGTTTTATGACTGCATTGGCATTTTGCTGACTTGTTTAATAAATGCAAGTTTTAATATACTTGAACCATTTTAAAAATTTATTTGTAATCAACACTGACTTTAAAATTTTGATAAATTCTGAACAGTGGTATTCATATTTATATATACTTGTATATATATAACAAATCGTGTTAGTTACACCATTTATTCTACGCCGAACGCTAAAGAGAATATTTTGAAAATGCAAACACCCAACCAAGAAAACCCAACACCAACAAACAATCAACTATCAAGTTCATGGACAAACGAAGAGGCTAGCCTTTTCGCGTTCGATGACATCTACGTCACAGCATGCACCGAGGAAGGAAGTCAGACCACTGATGTGGAGCCGCAACTCTATCTTCAAAGCCTGGAGACCCGAGTAGCGAAAGCTCTAGCAGCATCAAAAGGTTTTACCGACCTGATCGAAATTGCAGAAGCTTATGACGATGATAAAAAGTTGAATATCCGGTTGAACACGACCCCCGTGTCATCCAATGAGTTTGACGCCCTGATTTCGGGAATTGAGAAGAAGGATGTCGCCATGATTAACACCGAATATGGTGTTTTCGAAGTGCCGATGCCAACAACTTCCGCAATCCCAAAATATCAAAAGGTGTTAAACGCAACCGCAACAGCCGCTATAAAGACGCTATGTGACACATCACTATTGATGCACAAACGCGGAATCGATGTAGCAAAGCTAAGTGCGCACATACAAAGCGTAAGCAAGTCAGCAGTCGCCAGACACTCAAAATCCTTCGATCGAAAAGATGTGATGGAGTCCATCCTGAACGTCTTGATCGTGGAGAGAGTTAAGGAAAGGCAGCTACAAGCAATATGCAACCACTACAGCAAACCAGAGATGTGGGTCGACCCATTATCTTCGGGGCTGTGGATCGTCAATCCAGACGAAAATCACCCTGCCATTTTGGCATCAAGGGAAAGGAGAGTAATCTCAACATATGAGTTAGACGATAATTTAACTCAAAGTCTGATCGCGCTATCATTTTCACGAAAACCGAGAGAAACAGCAGCTGCAAAGCTAAACTTGTTCTCACGCGTGAAAGGTAGCAAACGTGACGACATAAAAGCAGACCCAAAGAAAGTACTGGCAGCAGTATTTTCGGAGTCTGAATTAACGCAGTCTGAAATAAAGGCGATGTTATTCACTAAACCCAGAGAACCAGCGACTATGTGTCCATACTGTGACGTTCCCGTCGAATTAGATGGCGTGACGTATCACACGGAATGTCTAGTTGTGAAGTGGCTAGTGAAGCACTTCTTCTTTAAATATGACAGCGAACTAGAAATACTTTCAACACAAAGAATTGTATTTCTCGACCACAACCAGAGAGCGATGCTCGAAATGATCCAGCGCCATCATCGTACGCTAAACCAACCTTTCAAGATAAAGGGAGGAGCAAAGTACCAAGTGATGCAACGCGAAGGAGACTCGCTTCGAACTCTCACGACTTTATCAACCAATCCTCAATTTGTTCCGGGCACCAGTGAGTGGCTCGAAAAACAGAGAAAAGAGGAAGAAGCGCGCAAGCGCAGATAAGGTTAAACACATATAACAAGACCGCGGCCACGGCGAGTAGCATCGAGGGTACAGTCAGTTGTATGATTCTATTTTTGATTAATTAATCATTTAGTTTTCTTTTATTTCATTTTAAAATATATTTAGTTTAGGGAACAATGCAGAACATTGAATCCTTGGGCACGGATCTGGATGCTCTACGAGTGGCTGAAACTTTAATTTGTGACATTGAAGATGTAAAGAATCATGTACTTAAGAATAAAGGCTCGATCAATCTTATATCACAAAATATCCGTAGTATTACCTGTAATATGTCTAATTTCTCAACGCTACTGCAGAAATCGAAGTTGTCGTGGGATATATTAGTTCTTTCGGAGTGCTGGCTTTCTTCGTCTAAACCTATTCCTAATCTCGTAAACTACAACTATATCAAAACCTCAAACCACAAAACACAGAACGAGGGAGTTGTTATCTATTATAATAAGTATCTTGAGATCACTTATGAAGAACCACAACTGAGCGACGCCAATTGTCTCCTCTTGAAGCTGAATTCAGAAACTTGTATTATAGGCCTATATCGGATACCAAATCAGTACAATACTTCAAACTTCATCAATTCCTTAGATGTTCTACTATCACAGTTGTCTAGTTACAAAAATATATACCTTTGCGGCGACATTAATATTGATATTTCCCCCAAGAGCACTGATAATCGCCTATATGAGTACTTGAACGTCCTCGCCAGTCATTGCATGCTTCCTGGCCATACATCTCCAACTCGCGGACGTGCATGTCTTGATCATATAATTATAAAGACGAAAGCCGATGCTACTTGTATCATAATCGAGTCTTCAATTACGGATCACGAAAGTGTAGCCCTGAGTTTTGATCAAAGGTCTGGTTCAAATTATAGTACGAGTACTAATGTATCATATTCAATAAACTACGCTCTACTCGATGATGAAATCTCAGATTTTGATCCGCAACCAATCCTGGAATCCAATGACGTCAACCTAGCAACGAATCTATTGGTAACATATCTTTCAACTGCCGTAAGCAAAACGACCAACCTGATTAAAATTCCGAATAGAAAAAGGGTAAGGAAACCGTGGATCACGAACGGGTTGTTGCGTTGCTTAAAAAATAGGGACAATTTATACAAGAAACATAAAAGGAGCCCAGATAACGAAATTATTAAACTCACATACAGGCGATACCGGAACTACTGTAACAATGTTATAAAAAAGGCCAAAATGTATTACGACAGAAGGGATATCGAAGCGGCGGGAAAGGATAAAGGGCAACTATGGAACGTTATTAAGAGAATCAGCAACACTAATGTCATCACAGATCATTCTATAAATCTCATCAAGAAAGACAATCCGAACCATAGTGTCAATAGTGTCAACAGTTTTTTTGCTGATGTTGGTAGAAAGCTCGCTTTGCGAACAACCCCCGCGACACCGAGCACATCTACTCGGCATTCCCATGCTGCCTTCGCCAATTCATTTGTCTTGTTCCCTACCGATAAATCTGAAATTAACTCTCTGATTCTGCAACTAAAAGACAAATGTGCTGTTGGCCTTGACCAGATTAGTGGGAGGATACTGAAGAGGTATGCCAATGTTCTCACATCTCCCCTCACCCATATCTGTAATTTAGCGCTGACCACAGGGATCTTTCCGTCAGTTTTTAAAACAGCTATCATTAAACCAATATACAAAACCGTTGACAGACACTGTGTCAATAACTTCCGCCCTATTTCAATTCTACCAACGCTGTCTAAAATCCTTGAACGAGTGATAAACAACCGACTAATAAAATATCTTGAGAACAACAAACTCCTATCGTCGTCTCAGTTTGGATTCCGACGTGGTAAATCAACAAGTGATGCAGTTCACGAACTAATGTCCTCTGTCATCCAACATCTAGATGATAAGAAAAAATGCTTAACAATATTTTTGGATTTAGCCAAGGCATTTGACACAGTCTCTGTTCCCCACCTATTGGTGAAACTTGAGAGGGTTGGTGTGAGGGGAGTGCCTCTGAAATTAATGGCGAGTTATTTAACCGAAAGATGCCAAAGGGTTAAAATAGGAGGTTGGTTGAGTGACGAAATCTACGTTGAATTTGGCGTGCCGCAGGGCAGTATACTTGGCCCTACCTTGTTTCTGGTGTATATTAACGAACTGTGCCAGTTAAAATTCAACAAAGGCAAAATAATTACGTTCGCTGATGATACTGCCTTGTTCTTCGGTGGCGATAGTTGGGAAGAGGTTTTTAACAACGCTCAGTATGGCTTCAACATAGTGAAACAATGGTTGCAACATAACGTATTGACACTTAATATATCTAAGACCAAATATGTAACATATGCTCATAAGACAAATCTCTTACCACAATCATTTGACATTAAAGCCCATGATTGCACGACCTTTAATCATTGCTCATGTCCCAGTCTTCATAGGACTGAGGTGATTAAATATCTGGGTATTATCATTGACCAAACACTAACCTTTAAACCATATATTAGCACCCTAGTTTCAAGGCTGCGAAAGATTATGTATGTCTTTAAGAGCTTAAGATTCACAGCTGATCGTAATATTGCCAAAACAGTTTACTACGCACTTTGTAATTCACTGATTAGCTATTGTATTACCACGTGGGGTGGTGCTGCCAAAACTCATCTCTTGGAAGTTGAAAAGGCACAGCGTGGTATTTTGAAGGTAGGCGCGGGGCTGCCATTTCGATTCCCGACAGCTCAACTCTATAAAGTTTGGGATGTATTAACCGTGAGACAGTCATTTATACTCAATATTATACTTAGGCAACATAAACAGACGCCTTACAACCCTAATATTCTCAAGGACAAGCGTAGGAAGGGTAAGGTTTGTACGAATAGGAAATTAAACACGGCATTCTCTCATAACTTCTTCTGCTTTCTCGGACCGTACCTTTATAATAAACTGAACAGCGCTTTACAAATATATCCAAAATCAACATTGAGATGTAAAGAAATAGTTTCTAAATACCTAAAAACCTTAGACTATCAGAATACGGAGGAACTTTTAAAACCTCTGATCTAGTATTTAGTATTTGACTTGGTTGGACGGGTGGTTGGGATGTGGATGAGTAATCGGAAGTAATCAGTAATCACTCATACATACACATGCTCCCACACATATTTACACAGGCATATAAACTCACTTGCAGATACACATATTATTCTATTAACACTTCACCTCATACATAACTTTACATTTAATTTTTACGAGATTTTTGTATTTTAGCCTTAGCTGATATTGCCTTTATATTCTCACTGGTTGTTTAATACTTATACACATTGTAGTATGGATACTGAAGCGGGGGGGCCCTGGTGACCTGTAATACAGATTTCAATAAATCTACATCAGGCACCAGTCTCTCACGTTAGTTTCGGGTACTGTAATGTATACTTGCTCTATTTCCAAGATATTGTAACTTAACTAATTGTGAAGAGAAATAAATAAATAAATAAATAAAATAAAATTTATAACTCAAGAACGGCTGGACCAATTTTTATTATTTTTGTGTTTTTGGATTTGTCTTCGTCCGGAATAGGATAATAAGTATTTTCCTAAAATCCTAAATCTGCTCATTCATTGACTGTTATGCGAAACGAAGTTCACCGGGTAAGCTAGTATTTATATATATATACTAGCTGACCCGGCAAACGTTGTTTTGTCATTTACATTATTTCAAAAAAAATGTCAAAAAATATATATTTGGTGTATGAAAAATAGATGTTGGCCGATTCTCAGACCTACCCGATATGCACACAAAATTTCACAAAAATCGGTCGAACGGTTTCGGAGGAGTTCAACCACACACAGAGTGACACTAGAATTTTATATATAAAATGTTAAATTAGTTTGTGTATGCTTCAAAACCTCAAAAAGTTCTGCACCGAGCTCAAATTCAAACATAACATCCAAACCGCTTCAAAGATTGTTTTATCTATTTTTCACATCAGCAGGCAGGGTACAGCTAGTATATATATGTGTAATACTTGACGTCAACACGACAAGTCGCTACAGCATTTGACTCCTTAGCCCTATAAAGGTCCTTACCTTTATAGGGCCGAAATTAGTGTTGCCACGCCTGATACCGATGACATGACGAGACGAGACGAGAATTTTTAACATAATTTGAGCTTTGATAATTATTATAAATATGAATACCGACTTTTGTTTTTATATGGTAACAAATCAGCAATAAAATATAAATGCCATGCTTTAATACAAGTCGTTGCCTCAGAAAACAAATGATCAATGTATGTGGTATATCCATAATATGTCCAATATAAATGAAATTATAGATAGTTCAACTCAGTTGTCGTCCGAGCACCGCGTCACTGCCACACGAATGAAAGTTGTATATTTACAAGCCCACGCACACATAGGGCCGCGCGCACAACTGAGTTGAACTATCTATAATAAGTATGCTTTACGTAAATTGTAAACTAGAATAGCACATAGACTACTGTCTAAACATTCCTATATATACCTAAACATATTATATCATTTCGAGAGGTAAAGGGCTATTTGTTTCAAGCGACAACAAAATTATGAAAAAATAATACATACAAAAATACTGTTTTATTATGGCTCGTAGTTAATTAGTATCCAAGTAGGTTAGCACATTGCAGAGTTAAGCAATCCTATCCAGGTCAGACTATGGATGGGTGACCACACTCGACACATTGAGACCTCCCCGTGTGACGGAGAGTACGTTAAGACGTACGAGCAATCGTTATGGGTACTCGGAGCCCTTGAAAAGTTCTACAGAACTTCGATATCGACTTAGTACTTGGGTTGTGAAGGTCTGATGGCAGACGCTCCACGTAAAAATCGAAGGTCAACCGTGTCGTATTAGACGAAAAGCCGACCCCAACCTAGTTTGGGAAAAGGGTCGGAAATTGATGACTATTTTATTATAGCCAGTTGATATTTCTGCCACTCTGCAATAATACGACAGACATGACAATAAGCGACCCTGGCTTCTACTATCTACTCAGCCTCAGAGACTTGCAGTACCACTATAGTCCGTTCGCGTTAAGAAAATAGTGACGCATCAATGATCAAGCCCCGTCTCCTAACCAATGACTGCACGGATGGCGTAGTGGTTACTATTACGCTGAGTGTTTGGGTCCGATCCCCAGATGGGACGACACTTTGTGTGATCCACAAATTGTTGTTCTGAGTCTGGGTGTTCCTTGTGTCTGTTTAATGTATGGTTGTCACCAGCGACAAAAAAAGATCAAAAAAGGTAGTTACTTGGAACCTGATTGGTCAGTGGTCAAAAGCCGGCTGGTCAAAAATCGGTGCGTAACTATTTTCTTATCGCGAATGAATATTATTATAGTTCCCTCATGTTATCCGTTACTCTAACAACAATTTACTTTCTTCCTTTGGAAATCGATTACATTCCCGAGGTGTTAGCATCAGGTAGATTGTAGTGGAAACCAGCCAAAATCTTTAGCAATATGTATAGTGGTACTGCACCGATAGCCTATACAATTGGGAATGGCCAAGAAGTTTTTTAATATTCGACTCTTTTCTCTTAGAATCTACTTATGGCATGGCACTGTAATGGCAATACATTGCCACCTTCATCATTATCATCATCAATCTTTAATACATTAAATAACTATGAAGTTAAGAAGAATATACACAATTGGTTACTAGAAAAAGACTATGCCCAAACCGAAGCATTGCTCCATCATGGAATATAAAAAAATATATACGATACATTATTTTTCACAACACAGATCCACAACCTTCTAACTACACATTAATCCACAGTCACACGCACTCACACACACACACACACACACACACACACACACACACACACACACACACACACACACACACACACACACACACACACACACACACAAATACACACGAAACACTTCATGCGTGTACGTCCCACTACTTTAACTTCAAACCTTAAAAATTTCAACATAAATGTAAAATACCTATAATGAAATACCGTGAACGAGCCATTAGCGGAACACTGTCTTCCAAGTTACAGGAATACCTAGTTTGGTGGGCAGGGTCTACTTTGTACACCTCATACGGTTATAATATGTTTATTGGATTGTATAATTGTAACAAAGGAATTGAAGTTCAATAAAGTTATTATTATTATTATTATTATTAATAGTCCACTGCTAGACATAGGCCTCTCCTTAGAAAGGAGGTTTTGGCCTACTATACTACGCTGGCCAGACGGGCTTTTATAGGGTTTGTGTCGAGTCTCTTTGCAGTGCTTGTTGTCCTACAGTCCCTAAGTTGGCTCTTACGACACCCACGGTATGAATAGGGGTGGTGACACTCTGTATTCTTAATCCATCACCACACCGCCAAAAGTACTTTTTAGTGTTAAGAAATTGCGTTGATCCCAAATAAAAGAAACAGGCCAGGATGATGATGATTATAACAATCATTTAAATACTCGTATTTCACATAAATAAAGCCAGTTATCGGTAAAATGTACTCAATTTTGCCCATAAAGTCGCTTAACAATAACCTTTCACCCCTAGAAATGTGTTTTAAAGAATTAAACAAAATAACACACATAAAACGCCATAACATATCCACAATAAAACAATCTTAGGCACAAAACGTCTTAAGAATACAAATTATATAAAATGCCTACAAGTAAAGAATATATCCTATCATCACGTTTGATGCTTTAGTTCTTACATGTTACGTCTCTTTCTTACTCGTGACATAAGCACTACTAGAGACAAGGATAGAGCACACAGTATCTGAAACGTGGCTTTCTAAAGTTGATTACAGGAACTGTCAGATGAATACGCATATAGCGAGCTTCGGACAGGAACGGATAAATAATAAAAAAAAAACATGTAGGCAGTGTCAAATTATAACCAAAAATGGCTTGGTTAACATTATATTGAAGATCTATACGTGTTACATCTGTACCTCATAAATTAACTATTCTTTGAACATTTCGTTATAGTCGTAGAATGGTATCGGATCTGACATTTATTGAACTTTACAGGGCAGCCATTTTAAAATTTCAAAAGCCATTCAAAATTTGTTAGTTTTTTGACACAACTTTTTTATTCTAAATCTATAATTACGAAAATTGGCGTACAAATAAAAAATAGAGTTTGTTTTATAATGTTAAAAAAATAACAACTAATAATTACACAATTTTCCAGAAAAATCACTTACTTCATATCCTTTGAGTGCTTATCAATCCGTCAGTACATTTATTTTTTCTTGAATGTAATAATAATATTTAGACAATGTAGTATTCAAATTTAGTAAAAACTGAATTTCGCATTTTTTTTTCAAAACCGATACTATTCTACGATCATGTCGATTTAAAAAATAAATAAAAAACGATGAATAAAAATCACCATATGGGTAAATAAACCGTTTTGATGTGGACACAGTTTCGCTATGGACAATCGGAATAACATTTTAACGTAAGATATGAGACATCGTTTTAACCCAGATAAGGCTACCGTCCCATATGTCTGCAATGCACTTTTAGATATACTTTTTAATCATCATCATCATCAACAGCCTATATCAGTCATCTGCTGGACATAGGTCTCTCCTTAGAAAGGAGGTTTTGGCCTACTATACCACGCTGGCCAGACGGGTTGGTATAGGGTTTGTGTCAAGTTTTCCTTCTCCTTGCAGTGCTGGTGTCCTGCGTAGTTTGTTCCCTTAGTCGGCTCCTTTATTTCAATAGCACATTAGCTTGTCACTACAAATCCATTAAATATATTCTGTTAATATGTGCGTGAGCTATAATATTTTTTTATTTCTACCGTCATACATATGGGACAGTAGGCTAATCTTGGACCGGCTCTTAAATGTGAAAACCCACAAAAGTTTATTGAATCTTTTTTCTTCTTTCTTATTCTTCTTTCAGGGCAGGAAGGGAAAAGGAACAGGTTGGTGAGTATAACGGCCAGTTTGAGTGGTCATAATATACTGATAAAGTCTTACGTTTATTGAATTTATTGGGATAAAATAACATAATACACTTTTTATAACTCATTACACCAGTTTATTTTTATTAGTCAAGTGTTCCGTGGTCTTTAATATATTTAGAAGAATTTATCTTTTTACATATAGTCACTTAGTGTGGCCAAAAAAATGATTAGGTCTACTAGAAACCGAAATTTGCTAAATTGCTTGTGGTAGTTTACGTCGGTAGTGTACTGGTCAGTATTTGAACCCACGACCTCTTGATCGCAAGTCCAACGCCTTAACCACTAGGCTACCGCCGCTTTTAACATTACATACGTTTTTCGTATAAATAAAATAAAAACCGACAAATGGATTTACTGAATTTTAATTTATAAAGGCATTAGGTCGGAAACTAATAGAAGTTAACAGTGACTATCGCTTTGGTTCGTTCCTGGTGCCAAAGGTTAGCCATTGCCAACGCTTCAATACAGCAAGTGTGATGGGAACCTTTCCACCAGAAACGATCAGAAATTTTATTACAACGTTTTTTGTGTAAATTTCGTTCTTTGTAATTAATTTTTTTGTAAAGTTCATATTTAAGTATGTAATGTAAATAGATTTAATTAAATTAAGATATTTTTTTATGTAAGATTCGTAGTAAGTGATATAAAAGTTAGGTAAAAAAAATTGTTATTAACTCTGTCTAATACAAAATATTAGCCTTTAATCAGGTTCTAAATAAGGTTTCTATTTTTAACCGACTGCCCCAAAAGAAGTGTTATTTCTTTGGCACGCTCTGTAGGTGTCGTTTGATTCGTCTTAATTGTCAGTGACATTAGGATTATGAAATGTATATAAATTAAAATCGCCAATTTGTAAATTTTAAATGCCCTTAAATAACCATGATGATGATGATGATGAACCAGTTTATTTTAAATCACAAATATGACCACACCGAACACTGCTAGTGATGATTGATAGAATAGTTTTCTTTTTACTTGTATGACATGAGGAAGCTAACCCAGGATATGTCCGGATGGAGCAGGAGTGGCAGCTCTACCGCGAGGAGGTGGAGCGCCTGCGGGAGGAGCGCGGGGAGCGAGTCCGGCGTCGGGTCGTGCGCTGGCGGCTCCTGGCGAACAGACACAGAGTTGTAAAAGAAGGTTCCGTAGATCCATCAACCACGGCTATTTAATAAACTTACCGTTGTGGTTGAATAGTATGTTCTAACATACCATACCATTTTTTCCGTTCGGACATCCCGTCGGATACCACCTATCGGTAGCATGTCGGACTCGAAATGACTAAAACCGCACGCCGTCTCGGGTACTAATAGCCGGGGGACCAGGTATACCCTAGAAAGGAGGTCCCTGGTGCCCCGACATACCTCGGGCCATCTACAGACGAGTAGACGACCCCCCCGTAACATACCATACCTAACATTACAACTACAAGTGTAAGTACATAACTTTCTAACTACAAATGTAAGTTTATATGCACAATATTAAGAGATTATTTCTGACATATGACACACAACGCCATCTAGTTTCAAACTGAACAGAGCTTGTACTATGAAAGTTAGATTGATTGATAAAATACTTTTATACTTTTTTTGTCAATACGTACATATTATACATAGAAAACAAATATTTGTAGATCATACAAACATTTGGTGCGACCCGGGAATCGAACCCGAGACCTCAGCACAGCAGTCGCATCCGCTGCCAATATGAACCACCGAGGCATTTTTTAGATTTACCATGTATTTTTTTAGTATAGTATTCTTGTAAGTTTTCTTTCAGTATCTATATACAGAAAAGTTTACAGGAAATCTACAGAAGAAAATAATTCATTAACTCAAAAAAAATAATCTGAATTACATTTTGTCAATTTTTTTTTTTTTTTTTAAAAAGACAACTCCCGCATTAGGAATATATCCTGTGTCGCGGGGGACTTTAGAAACATACATGAAACGGACACAAAGAACACCCAGACTCAGAACAACAATTTGTGGATCACACAAAGTGTCGTCCCATGTGGGGTTTGAACCCACAACACTCGAAGTAGGAAGCGGCGTGGCGACCACTTAAACCACTGCGCCATCTGTGCAGTCGTTACTAGCCTCCTTAAACTAAATCTTTCTGATTTTTTCTGTCATTCTATAAGAGTTCCTTTTTTACATTCGGATAATTTCAATGGGACAATAAAACGTATAAATTAAACAACACAAACGTGCCTGGACCTGCTACGTCTCCTGCGATCTCTATCGGACGATCGGCGACGTCTCTTATTCTTGTCGTCGTCTGAATCGGAACTGTGCGAGTGAGACGAATCTCTCTTCTTCTTGACTTCTACTGTAAAAAATATATTAGGGAATCAAATAACAACATGTACCTATAAATATTATAACTGAATACACTCGTATTACAACAAATGCAACAGATCGTTAATGCTGAATCAAAAATACTACAACACCTTAAAAAAAAATGGTAGAAGGTTTCTATATTCAAGAAACACAACTGCGTCCGTGTGGTGACGGATTAAGAATACAGATTGTCACCACCCCTATTCATCCCGTGGGTGTCGTAAGAGCCGAGTAAGGGAGAAAACTACGCAGAACAACAGCACTGCAGAGAGAAGGAAAACTTGACACAAACCCTACACCAACCCGTCTGGCCAGCGTGGTATAGTAGGCCAAAACCTCCTTTCTAAGGAGAGGCTTATGTCCAGCAGTGGACCATTAAAGGCTGTTGATGAACTGCGTTGACGCTCTTTGACTGCTCCCTGCCTGACTGAAGTTAGGTTAGAGATGGGGGGGGAGGGGGCTGGGGGTGTTAGCCTCACTCACTCTTTGTAGAAAAAGACCGCATTAGAAACATATATTTGTGTCGCGGGGGTCTTTACAAACATACATCAAACATACAACAAAAAAAAAAACATACATCAAACATATAATAGACACAAAAAACGACTAGACTCAGGACAACAATTTGTAGATCACATAAAGTGTTGTCCCATGACACTCAGCGCAGTAGGAAGCGGCGTGGCGACCGCTTAAACCACTACGCTATCCGTGCAGTCTTCTCTGTGAAAAGTAACAATTCTTTTGTTACTTCTGTTCCATGCCATCAATTTATTTTTCGTATATGCGGGCCGGCTCGATTAGTGTCATCACTGCCTCACAAAAAACCGGTGTTAACATATGCTTTTTTTAACATTGGAGCAGGCCATGGGCGGCACAAGCCAGTGTGAGACGCTCAAAACACATCATACGTATAAGACAATTTTTTGAAGATCAATTTCTTTTTTTTGGTTATTCAACCAATATTTTAATTTACAGTATAGGTCCCTTTGTCAACTAGTCAAATAGAATAGCGCGCGCTCATTGGACAAATAAATAGCGCGCGCTCATTGGTCAAATAAAATAGCACGCGCTCATTAGTCAAATCAAATAGCGCGCAGTCATTGGTCAAATCAAATAGCGCGCTCTTATTGGTCAAATCTAATAACGCGCGCTCATTAGTCAAATCGAATAGCGTGCGCTCAAATCAAACAGAACTCTTTCCTGAACTTCCTGTTACACACTTTTGTTTCCTTCACAAAATCACTTTATAGAGTACTGGAAAGTCTTTTTACTGAACGATTACACTACTTCCTATCAATAATAATACGCATAGTAAAATGGCTCTCTACTATTACTATCCAATAGTGTGTCTGTTGCACTGTTTGTTTGTTCGCCATATTGCTACCTACATACCTGCCGCTTTATTCTCCCGATCACGTTGTCTAGACTTGATGAGGCGCACGATCTCCATTAACTCCTTGCGAGCTTCGTCTCTGTCTACCTCCTGTACAAACAATTTATGAACACTGGTTAGATCTTTTTAAACTACTTAAAAGACAAAAAACCGGTTTTCAAGAATTTTTGAAGTGAAAAATTCTTTAGGGGCGTTGGGCATTTTTGAACAACAAACAAAAAATGTATTTTATGAGAAAAAACCATTGAACTCGCGACACTGTTACCGTTACCGACACCTCTGTATAAGTATATGAGTTTTCACTTCTGTCGGCTTTCCTGGAGTGCCAGTCAGTGAATCAGTGAGGTTACGGGTACCTGATTTGGGGGGAGGGGTTAAAGGGCAGCACTTGTAACTCTTACAGTTGTAGGTGTTCATGGCCGTCGGTAGTCACTTACCAACATGGCAGTTGATTGGGAATTATACCACCCCTGAGGGTGGAATTAAGTTTAAGAATACAGTTTATTGCAATTGATCATTATTTCGTTAATTATTTGACATGTCATAAATATTCAATGTCGGCCGAAAGGCGTAGTGATTTGTGTGACAGAGTGCTAAGAAAAAAGTTCGCGACTCAAGTGAAACATTTGTGTGCATGAACATTTAATGTTTGATTTGGTCTGGGTGTTTCTATGTACAATATAAAGGTATTTACACAACAATTTGTGGATCACACAAAGTGTCGTCCCGTGTGGGGTTTGAACCCACAACACTCGGCGTAGTAGGAAGCGGCATGGCGACCGCTAAAACCACTACGCCATCCGTTCATCCATCCTATATGTATTTATATCAGTTGTTTAGTAGATACCCATAGCACAAGGCATACCATGGCGTTGTGTGAATGTGGCTTTATACAAAAATGTGGTGATATTTCTGTTCTACTTACTTTCTTTTTCTCTTCGTCTTGAGGGGTTTTTTCGCCGCTCTTCTCACGCGTTTCCGTTACAGAAGGTTTACGATCGCGCGATTTAGAGCTGTAAAGCAATAAGAATATAATTCATTCTTCATAAAAACAACCGTAAAAATAACTAAACTAGGTCAAGGTATGATATGTTTCTTACTGTTCTCTATCTTTGACGGGCGATGGCGTACGCGAACGTCTCCTTTTCTTATCCTTATCATCTTCTTTCTTTCGTTCATCTTCCCTATTCTTCTTATCCCTGCTTCTTTCTCTATCTCTCCGTTCAGATTTTTCTCTATCTTTCCCATCTGGTTTTTCTACGTCCTTTTTTTCTGATTTGTCACTTCTAAGCGTTTTATCATCCTTCCTATCGACTTTATCATCTCTCCTGTGTTCTGAATGTTTTCTATCTCGCTCGCTGCGATGTCTATCACGTCTGTTGTCATCTCTTTCTTTATCTTTGTCACGTCTATCATCGCGTTCCTTATCTTTCTCTGACTCGCGTCTATCTCTGTTGTTGCGGCGGTCGAAGCGATCTGGACGTTCGGTGCGATCAGGTTTTTCAGCGCGATCTGGCCGCTCAGAGCGATCCAAGCGTTCAGGACGCTCGAAGCGGTTAGCTCGATCGTCTTTTCTGTGTAATGAATTTAGTATGAATAAAATATATATTATTATGAGTGAATTTTATTTGCTTGCTAAAAATAATTGATCTAAATAAACTTATACGAAGATACTGATTTTAACCACAATTTGAATAAATGACACAAGTTAAATGTTAACAAGGGTACCATTGTTTCAATTAAACAGTTTATAAGACAGAGGAAACTTAATGTACTGTCATAGTGAAATAAATAGTTCATCATTTATTTTTTAATTGTAAAATCTATACTAATATTATAAAGCTGAAGAGTTTGTTTGTTTGTTTGTTTGAACGCGATAATCTCAGGAACTACTGGTCCGATTTGAAAAATTCTTTCAGTTTTAGATAGCCCATATATCGAGGAAGGCTATAGGCTATATATCATCACGCTAAGACCAATAGGAGCGGAGCACCAATGAATAATGTTTCAAAAACGGAGAAAATTTATTACTATTGAGAGACGCAGACGAAGTTGCGCCGGTCAGCTAGTTAAAAATATATATTGCAATCGTTATATCTACTAGTCCACTATTGCCAACTTTACGAAAGTAATTTTTAGTAAGTTTAATGTTCAAAAATAATTCTAGTTAAATGCTAAACGTCAATCAGTATAATTGGATTCACATACCTCTGGTCCCTCTCCGCACCTCTACTAAACGTGCTTCTGAGCAGGCTGAATGGGTCGTATCCCTCCTTGGGTTTATCATCCTGGCTGGCTTTAGCCAGACCCTCAGACACATTAGCGACGGCCGAGGATAGCTTCGGTGCTGCGTAATTCACCGAAGAAGTCGGAAGTTCACGGCGGCGGGTGTGGAGTTCGCGGGGTACGCGGGCATCCCTAGTGTGGGAGAAAGAGTTGAAGAACATATAAAAATATATTTAATATTAGTGGATTTAACAGTTCATTTATAACTTTTTAACCGACTTCAAATAGGAGGAGGTTCTATGTAATTAGTTTAAGTGTTGGCAATTGATTCTGTGTGGTGACGGATTAAGAATACAGTGTCACCACCCCTATTGATCCCGTGGGTGTCGTATAAGCCGACTAAGGAAAAAATACGCAGAACAACACTGCACAGAGAAGTAAAACTTGACACAAACCCTATGCCAACCCGTCTGGCCAGCGTGGTATAGAGAGGAGAGGCCTATGTCCAGCAGTGGACTATTAAAGGCTGTTGATGTGATGTGTGATGTTGGCTATTAGGTTTTGGAAGTTAATTCTAATGTATAAATGTTTAAGATCGTATATCAGTTGACAATTCTGTTCTTGGTGATATGCCACCTAGACAGTCTACTCCTAGAGCAGTTATATCGATACGTCACGCTCGCCTTTAGGGTTACTTGGAGTTTTAGTCCCTTTGCCCATTGGAGCCTTGCAATATCCTTTACCCGAACTCCCTTCAGTGGATTTATTTTATATTTTGAACTCTTTAAATTTGCTCGTTTTTCTCTGTGCGGAAATCCCTTTGGTTACTTGACAACCGGTGGGGTGGTTATGCCGGACTCGAACCGACTAAAAATCGCATGCCGTTTCGGGTACTAGTAGCCTGGTATCCAGGTGTATCCTAGAAAATAAATTCTTGGTATTTCGACGGATCCTGGAAAATCAATAGCTTGCAAATGATCCCCTCGTGTGCGAGAAATCCTATTAGTCTTAAAGACCGCGCTACGAGGTCATGCCTCTGTTTCCCCCACGCCACGTTCACGATCTGGCCACCGCAGTGGTGGCACTCAGGCGGTGGCTCTTGCGGATCAGACACAGATGATTTCCAAAGCAATTTTTCTAGGTTATCACCTGCGCCAGTCGGTGAGAGGGTCTCGTGTTGCCCCTCGACTCTTTCTCTGTGGAGGCACAGCGGGTCTTACCGTCATAATAACGGCATACTCTCCTCCAATTTACTCCTGATCGATGTCGTGAGGATTCTAAAGAGGGTTTAACTTTTCTCGGGATTTCTTTAGTGTCATGTAGATCTCGGTACACAGGAGTATTACAGTGTGTATATACATTATCTTTTGCCGTGACCGTAAAAGATTACTGTCTTAAGGAGGAAGCTCTTTATTTTTAAGAGAAATTCGTCAGCTTATGTATGAAATAAAGAATCCGTGCGTTACCTCTGCTGGTCGTGCTTGGGGTTGACGCCGAGCGCCAGCGCCAGCAGGTGCGCGCGCGCGTCGCCCGCCGCGCGCCGCTCCGCCGGGGCCGCGCGCGAGGGACCCCCCGAACCCTCTAAGGACGTACGCGAACCATTATATTAGATAATCACTCACACATGACCACTCGAGCAAGAGAGCAAATGTGGCCAAACATAAACATCAATTCCCAGCAGATTTCATCAAACCTTCAGAAAACCTGCCACCGACTGCAATCGCCTACATGGTGATCATTAAATCGCTTACGTGCACAGGTTGGTCGTTGCATGGCAAATTAGGGCTACATTGTCGCAAACGCGCTGTGAATGTGGCTCTCCAGTGCAGACCATACCATATTTGCTTTCTTGTCCACTGTGTCCATCCAGACAATGCCGTAGCTGTGGCTGAATTGTGGGCGGACAAAATTTAGGGGTATTCACCCGTTGATACAACGAATAATAAGACACACACGCCAATCCACATATTAAATAAATTAGAATAAATAAATAAAATATTTACATATATACCACAGACCAAAGGTTTACAGTTGTACAGTTACTAGTATTCTTAATAACCTCTTCGGCTAAGCTAAACCCGGGTTCAAAGATTGGGTTCGGATCAGTATTGAATTTTGTGAGGTTCGAACCAGCAGCGGCTATTTTTCCACTGCTAATGTTGGTTCATTATTAATTTGTCCATACTAATAATATAAATGCGAAAGTGTGTCTGGCTGTCTGTTTGTAACCTCTTCGCGTTTAAAGCGCTAGACCGATTTAGATGAAATTTGGTATGGAAATAGTCTTACTTGTGAGGAAGCACATAGTCTACCGCGATAATCGACATACACGGCAGAGCCGGGGCCCGAAGCTAGGTGTTTATATATTACCATTATCATGTTCGATGTCCTCCTCAAAGTCCAGCGCGTTATAATCAATTTTGTCGTGGCGATGATCTGAGCCTTGAGTAGTGTCTAACTCTCCCTCCTCTTTCTCTGATGGTGGCCTGGCTGGAGTACCTTCCCCGTCGCCTAAAATTAGAAAAAGAATGTTGTAGGTATCATCTCAAATAAAAAGATTGAAGAAATTACCTTAGCAATTAAACATCATTAATTATTATCTAATTTACATAATACTTTCATAAGTATTGGTAAGACCATTCGTTGATTTTAGACTACACTATAGTCTAAACCAGTTTAATAAAAAAAAATAAGATTATATTTTTAAAAGAAAAACAACAGATGTGAGACTTTTAATGTAAAATAAAATACACAATTCAATAAACTTTTATATATTTTTACGTTAAATACATAACATAGTTTAATAAAATACAAATAAATATAGATTGCTTTATTTAGACCAGTCTTTTATGTACAGAAACTCGGTTGAATATTATTTATTTACATTATTTAGGGTAACAAAGTAGTATAACACATTGCAAAATTAAGCAGCCCTAGCCAGGTCAGTCTATGGATTGGTCACCAGACTCCTCCCCATGCCTCGTAGAGCACGTTAAACTGTCGCTCCTTGTGGCAATCGTTAAGGGTGGTTGGAGATCTAAAAAATTCAACAATCTTTCTACGGAACTTCGATATCACCTAGTAGGTAGGGATAGGTTGAGGTCTGATAGCAATAATATTAAAATAATAGTAAAAAAATCGAAGCTCTGTCGTAGTACACTTAAAGAAGACCCCAACCTTATTTGGGAAATAAGACTCAGAGGACGAATTTTTTTATTACATTCAGGTTACATGTGCGAATATGTGAAATATTATAATATAATAATATATATTCTACCACATACACATAACGCCATCTAGTCCCAAACTAAGCAGAGCTTGTACTATGGGTACTAGACAACTGATATAAATACATATATACTTTTTTTTTTGTAAATACATACATATTATACATAGAAACACCCAGACAAAAATCAAACAACAAATGTTCATGCACACAAATGTTTGAGTTGAGCGGGAATCGAACCCGCGACCTTTGGAATAACAGTCCGTTACACAAACTACTACGCCATCCAGTCGTTAAATGTTGCTGTTGCGTGGTTCACGTATGCCTTGAAATAATTGGTGTGGCTACTCTCTAAAAATACAGAATATTATTACAACGGGTTTCAAAAACGCAGATGGATCAAACAGCGACATCTGTTGAGAAGTAGAAAAATTACAGCGCACCACATTATTTGAATAGCAGGTAATAAAAATGGAACCAGTCTGAGAATGTCGTCAAGATATGCTTTTTGTGTTAGAACTAGCCCAGACGGTTAACGGACCAGAACGGACAAATGAAAAAAAAACACAAAATTAAAAAAATGAGTTTTTCCAATCGGTACTGAACTTCAGTAGATCACCTGGCTGGGCTAATCTGAAGATTAACTGAAAATTTAATTAATTAGGTACAACCGCTTTGAATTTCCTACGAACATACACACACATCGGTTTTGATGTACCATAATTACTCATGTTGTTTGAATTTATATTTCTAAAACGTTTTTTTTTTTCAGTAATGGCGATGAATTTTAATTTCTGTTTAATATTTTTATACTCACGATTCTGCTGCCTCTCAGCGGACTTCTTATTAGACTCTTGGTGGTCCCTGTCAGCTCTCTCCTGTTCAGCGCGCTAAGGTCAAAATTATAGATTAAATTATAAATTATTCTAGTGGTTAGTGACCCTGACTGCTAAACCGGGTTCGATTCCCACTCAGAACAAATATTTGTGTGATTAGCACGATCGTTTGTTCTGTGTCTGGGTGTAATTTATCTATAATATGTATGTATTTAGACATATATAAGTATGTTTATCAGCAGTCTGGTTACCATAGCACAGGCTCTGCCTAGTTTGGGTTCAGACATCCGCGTGTGAGATGTGTGAGGTTATTATTATTATTATTAAGAGTATATTAAGTGGATAGATCTATATAAAGTAAACACAGATAAAATATTGAGGTTATCTCATTGAAATAACTGAAAATCACTTGCAAGTATAAGAATATAGTTCTGCAGTACAGCATAAAACTGTGTAAAATTAAGAGTTCCGCAAAATTGGACAATATTTTTATTAAGTAAAAAAATGGGTTGAGCGTGACCCTATGTCTAATAAATGTGTGTAATAATAATTTATAAAATTTAATACAATTTTAAATACAGAGTACGTTCGGCTTACCTCAAACTCTGACAGCTTGATAATACGTCGCTGAGCCTGGCGCCAGTGAGGGGGGGTCACGGAGCGAGATCGGGAGCGGGAGCGAGACGGCGTGCGATAGCGCTGCGGAACACACAATCATAAGAAAATGGAGATATAACCTGTCCTCCTAAAGTCGTTCCCTCAAAATGAACCTTTTAAAAATCAATCTAGCAACCCCAATATTTTCAGTATAAATGACAAACAACTATTTTGTTAGAATATTCAAGTGCGGTGACGGATTAAAAATACAGAGTGTCATAACCCCTATTCATTCCGTGGGTGTATTAAGAGCCGACTAAGGGAGCAAACTGTGCAAAATAACAGCACTACAATAAGAAACAACCCCTATACCAACCCGTCTAGGCAGCGTGGTATAGTAGGCCAAAACCTCCTTTCTAAGGAGAGGCCTAAGTCCAGCAGTGGACTGTTAAGGGCTGTTGATGATGGTGATTCAAGCATGTGTAAACTAAACTAAAACAGTCTTACCATATGAAAATATTTCCAAATAGTTATAGATTATACTTACGAATACACCGCGTCCCTTGATGACCCTGCCGCTGCGAGTGTAGGACCGATGATGCTCCCTCTCGCGGTACCTCATCCTAAACCACACATACGATATAATAATTCATTGTAGTCGAGTAAAAAAAACACATAAAACGAGTAAAAAAAAAGAAACATTTGCTGTATAAATATTTTATGATTCTTCTACATTTTTGTACACACCAAAACTACCTATAAAATGGTCTATCTAAGAGTCGATTTACCCATCCAAAGGTTGTCTGTAAGCAATTGCTTTTTAGATAAGGCCGCCATTCCATGTATAATGTACTTAACTGGTGTACAATAAAGTTTATTCATACCTTATACCTACCAAATACAAAAAAAAAGGTAGATAAATTTTAAATTATAGTAAAGGAAATTACATGTAGTATGTACATGATCTATTTTTAGAATTAATAACCCTCCGCCCCCCTCCTATCCCTATTCCTATCGGCCCGAAAACACACATGTTTAGTTACTTATGTATTTAGTAAGTTACATTAATGTAGAAATTTAAATATAACACAGAAAATAAATGACTTACATCAAAAATCGACAAAAACTGAAAAATAAAATAACAAATAACTCTAATGAGAATGTACATCTATGGTTTATTTATGATATTTACATAATACACAAGAATAAACATCCTAACCCAAACCCACTAACATCATTTTATCTTTTTACTTTTCTCAAAACATGGCAAATAATAATAGATCAGCTTAGGACCGGACGTAGTGCGAAACGACTCTTACCCGTTTCCTTTACCACCTCCCCCCCTGCCAAAAATAAAACGATTACATTCGAATTAGATTGTTTCTTTTTCTCTTTTAAAAAGATCTCTCTCGCGCTCTTAGGATTATATCCGGTGTCGCGGGGGACTTAACAAACATTTCTGAAACGGACACAAAGAACACCCAGATTCAGAATAACAATTTGTGGATCAGACAAAGTGTCGTCCCATGTGGCGATCGAACCCATAACACTCAGCGTAGTAAGAAGCGGCGTGGCGACCGCTTAAGTCGCTACGCCATCCGTGCAGTCATTCGTCTCAGGTAAACAGTCTTTCAAAACCTAGTGAAAGCCTTTTGCAATTCACATCGCGCCGATTAGCGAAACTTGAGAAAAGGACAGGAAGAAGTCAGCTTCTGAAGAAGACATCAGGTCTTCAACGATAGGAAGGGGGGGGGGGACTCAAATGGCTACAGTCCATGGGTACCTTCTTCAGTTGCTTACCACCCGTGACCCGTCTGCCGTTTGCATTGCAAGCTAATAGCAAATATAAATGTTAATCTAGTGTCACAAAACATAATAACAGAGATAATTAAAACATACAAAAAAGCACTCTAAATCGGAGGCACTAAAATCCATAGTCAAAGTTTATGAAATACCTGATAAGCCTTTGTTACAGTTAGGTGTTACCTCTCTCTATCGCGTCTGGGGTCGTTCCTGTCATCATTATCTCGACCGCCCCTCATTAGGAACCTGTTAGTCGGTACGTCTGGTATCTCCCGAGGGTCTATCTTAGAAGTGGTGACTAGGGGATGGGCTGGTGTCTCCTGGGCAACTGCTTCCTCATTTTCTGATGGTTCAGAGTGGCGCCTGGGTGAAAAATTGAGTGTTTTATTTTTACCCTATTTAAACTAATATTATAAAGTTGTTTAATTTGGTTCTTTGGTTGAATCAGACGGTCGTGTGTGAGATGTGTGAAGTTATTATAAGTTATATAGATTACTAGCGGACCCGACAGACGTTGTCCTGTCAAATTTGACACTGCGATGGTAGCGCCGTCTGTCGGATCCAATGTAAAACATTCCAAAATCAACAACTACTAATAAATTAAAAATTAATTAAAAAACATTGTCCAGCGGACAAAATTGTGAATCTAAACCATTCCCAGATCCCCTTGAACACACACAAAAAATTTCATCAAAATCGGTCCAGTCGTTTGAGAGAAGTTCAGTGACATACACACTCACAGAAGAATTATATATATAAAGATAAGTAAGGGTATGTTAATCCATGCTTCCATATTTATATTAGAAATGTCAAAGTGAGTGTTTGTTTGTTTGTTAGCTTACATGGAAAGCTACATTATCGATGAGTAACATAGGCTACTTTTTTACCTCGATAACCGACACACATACGGGCGGAGCCGCGGGCAATAGCAATGGGAGGAAGTCCACCTCTACTGTGCGGTGATACGAACCATGGCTCTATACGGAGCGCAGATATGGGCCAAACGCCACGGGAAAGAAACCACTGAACGGGATTGGGAGGGCCGATATCGAGTGAAGAAGACGTCGGCGGCGGTAGGAGCCGCCGTCAGGACCGCGGGTCGCCAGAGAGTCAATTGCTGCGGTAGGGGATAGGATGGCGGCCCGATCGCACTTAGACGCAAGACGAAATGTTCTCCCCTGGGATAGGGCCTAATTAGGCATGTTGTCGATTCGGGGAGGACCTGAAATAACATGGTCCTGGTCCTCTCAGAGTAGAGCGCCTGAGACTGGCCGTCGGGGTGGTTTTTAGTGAAATCACCACATAGTCCTGGCTCTTGAATCCCCGAGGAGGAGAAGATCCTATTACGTAAATGGCACTCTAATTATAGTATGTACTGTGGGGCTAAATACACCTTTGTCTACTCCTTGGGATGGCGTGATTGTATGTATATATGTATGCATATGTACGTATAAAAACTGTAGAAATCATACCTTTTCTTCTTCTTTTCTTTCTTATCCTTCTTCTTCTTTTTGTCCTTCTTGTGAGAGCGCTCAGACTCTGCATCACTTTCTTCTTTATCCTCCTTTTCTTCTTTGCGCTTTTTAGCTGCTGATGGATACAAATGATTTACTAATTAAATTAAATATAAACTTAAAGACACCGTATAGTACTCATAATTTTTATTTTTTATATTGGTGGGAATTATTATGTCTATGACCAATGACTGGCTTGTTGGTCTAGTGGTGAGTGATTCTAATTGGTTAAGCAGAGGTCGCTGGTTCGATTCCCACCCAGGACGAATAATTGCGTGATGAGCACGATCATTTGTTCTGTGTCTGGGTGTTTTTTTTTTTTATAATTTGTAAGGTATGTATTTAGAAATATATGTTTATTAGCAGTCTGGGTACCAGGTAGCATACCTAGGATACAATAAACTTTAAATTGTTATTACACTCTTTTACAAAAGAATACTATAAGAAAAACACGCAAATTTGCACTAAACGGGAAACGGTGACGGTTTGGAATGTTGTCAAACCGAGTTGAATCGGTTTACCCATGGTTTAATCCGGTTGAACAGTCTCATAAGATAGCGCTGGCGGCTTTTGCTTTACCGACCGAATAAAACTGATTTATCGACGCGACAAGACACTAAATCTTTGTCAATTTACCTACAAGCACAAAGTATATTATTATGTCCCAAAGTCGACTCGTCACACCACTAAATCGAACCCCGTTGCTTCTGTCACATTTTTTTTTGGTGTCAAATCATTTCAGTAAGGATCTGAAGGTACTGACCAGTCTGCAGCTTGACCAGCTGTCCGCAGTTGGTGACGGTGACGTCCTGCAGCGGTCGCGCGTTTCGGTCCACCGGCAACGCCTCCAGCTGCCGCACCAGGGTCGCACCGCCGATTACTTGACCGAACACTACGTGCACACTGAGGGACGAGATCATGGTCACAACACTGGCTACATATCTCTCTTAATAAAAAAAAGTTGGCCAAAAAGGAGTTCTTGGTTTAAATTTAAATTAAGTTAAAAGATTTAAGCTGTCTCTAGGGTCAGTTTCTGGTTGAAGAGGAAAACGTGTAGTTCATATAAACAAGTCCTATTATGTAAAATCCTTGAAAATATAGGTATATATGTAAAAAAAATGTTGCAATTTAGTCAGTCATAGTACTCAAATATCAGTAACGGATCATACAGTTTAATCAGATTTTACGAATTTAAATAACTAAGGACAGCTATTAGCCAATTAGTACCAAGAAATAGAAAAAAAAAAACAATTGAGCCATATGGTGTGTAACATCTGACATCTCATTGGTCAATTTCCTGTTACAAACTTCCGTCCTTTTTCACCAAATCACTCCACAGATTGCGGGAGAGTGAGAGGCAAGATGTTACACACATACAAATGTGTAAAATGTTGATACTCACTTGTCGAGATGCGGCGCCGGCTGTGTTGTTCTACAACACACAGAACACAACAAGAATGATAGCGGGCGAGCGGAGCGGGGACCGCCGCAGCTGGCAGCGATCTCTACACAACGCATACACAACACGTTTCATATGTCACTTTATATCTAACACTGACAAGAGTTGATAAGTATTATGATTCTTCACAATACTGTCGCTTTAGTTGAGCAAAACGATAATTTTCGTTTTGGACCACATGTTCCATGGTAGGGGGGAATTTTATTTGATTTGCAAAATATCAAGACTCCAATTTTCTATTAGAACATTTAGAAGTAAAGAGATAACCTTCTCAAAGGACAGAAAAGAATTCCAGTCTGATTCGAAGTTAATTAAATTAACTTCGAAATTAAATCAAAATATACATTTTGATTTTGCCCCTTGGCAACGGGCGGTTGTATATCGGCACTGGCTTTGTATAAATTTAATTTTTATTAAATTTATTTGTTTACTATTTAACAAAACAGAGTTTTTTTACTATTATGTGTGTTGATCTTTGGAGTCTACACAAAAGACGATTTCTTTTTTTTTTTTAAAGAGAGTTTGAGTTTGCTTCCTCCATCTTTAATTCAATACTGAATATAATACATTTGAGCATTTTATATAGTGTTAGTGCCAATGTCAAAATTAGTACAAAATTTTGTTACAAATTATGTATGACATTTATTTTAACAGATTAATTTTAATGCTCACATAGTTTCACCGCAAACAGGTGGTAAAACTAATCTCGGCTTCAATAGACTAAAAGATACCAGGTTATTATCCTTTAGTATCTTCTATAGAATAGATCTATTGAAGCTTTCATTTTAAATCCTTTTTATCAACTCTTGTTAGACAGACAACCAGTAAATAGGACTTATGTGGCCGAGTTGAGCTGGTATTGGCCTACAGTTAAATCTTCTGCAGTTTGAACACTAATTTTTCGATTGACTTTGTGGTTTTCCTTATTAAATTTGTTTAAGATAAACTTGCTGGATGTAGAAGAACATATATGAACGCAAAAGTTTATTATTATGCCAAAAAGGTTGCAAACCAGCATAAAGTTCATCTGCTGAGTAGAAGTTCTGGTCTGAAAAGCTATGGTATTAAATTATTCAGAACCATAGTTAATGTGCTGTTTTAAAGACAAAAAGATTAATTGGAATAGTTATTATCGACAAACCGAAGAATAACATTAATTAGATATTTAATTTAGACAACCATACTTGTATTTTGAGAAATATAAAACTTTATTAAGCTATATGAAAAAAAACCTTATGCAGTTTTTTAACTTTTCAAGATGTGTGTTCTTAAATTATGTAGTTTAATTCACAGTTCAGTGACAACTAGGTCTAAAGTTTATTGCTAAGAATGGTCCTTACTATCTATTTAAGTTAGCAGAAGTCATACCAGACAACTAGCTTTTCTGACAAGAAAAACTAACATGTTCCTATATCTTACCCAATTCCGCATAACTTACATAAAAAACTGTGAACCATTTGTATCTTTGCCTCGGTTGGCCATCGACAACAAATAAGGCCTATCATGTTTCAATTCAAATGTCTCATCTGAAACAAGTAATTTTTACATTAATATTAATAATGAAATTTACTCAGTTTGTTTGTACAGTGGTAGCATATGTGAACACTGTGCTGAAGTCTCCGGTTTGATTCTCAGGTTGGACTGAATGTTTATATGATCTGCAAATATTTGTTTTAGAATTTGGGTGTTTTCTATGTATAATATGTATGTATTTACAAAAAAAAAGTGTTTAATATTCTATCTATTAATCTAGTAGTATCCATAGCTCAAAAGCTCTGCTTAGTTTAAAACTAGATAGCGTTATGTGTTAGACGTCCAAAAGAAATATTATTATTATTAATGTCATTTTTTCATTAAATATACTCTAACTTAAACAAATTCATAGCTAGCTTGTAAGTAAAAAGGCTATCTTAAAAATACTTTTTTACCTTCAAAAGTTCCACCATAGATAGATTCCCCTCCAGTACCATTGGCATTTGTAAAATCACCTCCTTGGATCATGAAATCCTTCACTACTCTATGGAACACCATGCCCTGGAGACAAAAAGAAATCACTGTCATTTTGTATGAGGTTGGACTGTCCAATTAAATTTCTTTCATACAATTTTGTATGAAATAACATAATGTCTTTGCTAACTAATTATGGTAAAGATAGATAGATTTAATTATCTGGTAGGAGTATCACAGACTTTATGAGTTTCAACATTTATTATATTTGATTTTGTCAATATGATGAACATATAAGTACTAATCAATTAAGAATACATTATGAATATACATTTAAAATGGAAATACAAAAGGTTATCAGTAAAAGTAATTTACATAAGAAAATATTAATTAAAACAAGCAGTCATTAAGCCGTTAGGAGCAAAAGAATCATCTGGCTTATATTTAATGTCTCATTTTTGGGATTTTAGTGGTATTCTATCAAAATCGTACTTAAGCGAAAAAAAAACATTTTTTATGTTTTTATCTGTCTGTTTGTTCTGGAATAGGATGACCACTTTGACTTACTTGCCAGTGTCTTGTGGAAAATATTTATTATAAAGAAGTATCTTGGGCTATTACTATATAAACATATATATTTTCTTTTTGTAAAAGGAGCATGGTCTCACAAAAAGAAAAATATATTATGGACAAGTGAGTGAAGCCACCACAAATGAAAATAATGTGGCTGTGGTGCCTTTCAACAGGCAATGGGCCATTTGTTAACATGAACAGTAAGAATCAAATTATCTCAAGCAAGGCCAACACCATTCGTGTCACCGAGCACTTGTAAAAAACTATCCAGTTTTTTTTATGTTTTAAAAGACAACCCTCTCTCTATAAAATATATCCTGTGTCAAGGAGAATTTCACAAACATATCAAACGGAGATAAACACCTAGACTAAAAAAACAATTTGTGAATCACACAGTGTTGTATGGATCACACCCACAACAGTGTTTAACAAAGTTTAACTTGTTTCATTTCATGCCTGCCTTGATTGTGAACCAACCAGCTTTCTGCAGTTTTAATTAAATAGCCTTAATATAAGATAATAATGCTCCTTATGTGGCCATTAGCCAATTATTGACTTTAGTTCATTAGAACACATACAAAGTAACCACTTGTACAACTCAAGGGACCAGCCTTACACTTCCTTATCAAAAAATAATCTGTAGCTTATTTAGGAGGGCAGTATGACATCCATTATTATTGTATTTAACATATAAACTACATTACATGTATTTGTGAAACCTACTGTCATATTTTTTGCAAATAAAGATATGTTTTATAATATGATAGTCTGAGATCGTTTTTTAGGGAGCCAAGCTTATGACCAAAAAGGTTTAGCATCTAATATCAAATGACCTTATACATAAGAGGTTTCCCCGTGTTCTTCCCCACGCCCATGTCTCCGGCGCATAACGCACGGAAGTTTTCTGCCGTCTTAGGAGCGATGTCATTGAATAATTCAAAGACAAGACGTCCTGATGGCAAGCCCCCTATCGAAATGTCCATGAACACGCGAACCCGGGCCGCTTTTTCATCCCCGTCTACAGTCATTTTCACTAAGTAATCACTACAACTTGCAATTAAAGTATTAGAAAGTATTGTACGATAGTTTTGCAAAAACCCACAAACATTTAACGTATTAACGTTACTGTTTAAGATATTTTACAATTTATTCCATAATTAAACCCACGACCACGACAATTAGGAAAACACTTGACAAACAAAACTGAGTTGCCAGATGTCAAATTACCGCCATTTAGATTAATCGTCATCAATAAATCGAAAATGAAAAATTCTGTTATCGGCAAGTGGCATTAGGATTTTATTTAATTTCCAAAATAAACAAGATTTGAAGAGTACGAATCCAATCGCGTATAGCTGCGGGTAATAAAATACACTCGCAGGCTTCGTTTGGCATTCCTTCCCTTTTCGTTTTAAATTTCAATTTTTTTTTTATTTTTATTGAATAGGAATAACAAACAGCTACAACATACAATTTACAAAATACATAATCTAAACAATATAGCACTTATGCTATATTGTAGCCCACAACGTTATTCACAAATTAGCAAAGATAAGTATGGAATACAGTATTAAACACGCTCACATTTGTACATGTACAGGTTGGAATACTCATACATTAGTTTCTTAGTAGTAATTATGAAATTTATAACAAGGACTATTGTCAATGCGGTTATGTTATTTTAGCCTAAGTCTTTAAGCAAAAGGCCTTTAAACTTGCTCATTTGTTAAGAAGGTTATATACATCAGTTACAAATTGTCTATCTTTAATATACCTAGCAACTGTTGTTAATTTTGTAGTCAAGAATAAATTTGTCAATAACAGAAACTTGCTTTCCATATTATATTTTATTTTATTATATTAAAGTGGTAGCAGAGCGTAAACAATGGAGCAAGCATTAAATGCGAGTAAGATTCAAATTGGGAAACTAGATTCCAATAATTATAAAACATGGAGATTCAAAATTCTAATCGTGCTAAAGGCAATACCAGGAGGCATGTTCATCCTCGAAGGGAAGAAGGTAAGACCATCCTTGGCGCTTTCGGCTACTGGCGATGCAAAGGCTAGTTATGAAAAAGATCTCCAAAGTTTTGAAAATTTGAATAGCGCAATTTTAATTCTGTTGACAACAAACATGTCAGATGATATTTTACAAAAGTTTTTGCGATTTGATTCTGCTAAAGATATGTGGGATGAGCTAGAGCGCACCTATGGAGGTACGTGTGTAGACAAGACATCTGTGTTGTCTTATGCCTGAAATTCTTCAGTTACAAAAAGGACCCAGAACATGACATAATTACACATGTGTCAATTTTAAAGAATATTTGGAGCGAGCTATGTACGGAATTGCAGAGTGAAACAAAATTACCTGAAATTCTTTTAATATGCAAGATACTAGATACATTACCTCCAGAATATCTTGGTTTTAAGTCCAGTTGGCTGTTGATTTCAAAAATGGAAAGATCAGTTGAAAATCTGACAAGTCAATTGTGTGCACAAGAGAGAGTCCTGCGTCAAGACACAAATGTCACAGAGGAGACTAGTGCAGAAGCTTTGTATACAAAAACAAATAAGGGTAAGAAAAAGAAGAATTTTAACGAGCCTAAATGCAATTATTGCAAGGAAAAGGGACATAGAGTTAGAAATTGTAAGCGGTGGATCCAAGATGGAAGGCCGCCCAAGGAAACCAAGACCGCAAACACGAACCTGACTGTTATGACAATAGATTCGGCTGATTTTGGAGAAAGGAAAGATTTAGAGAATTGGTTCATTGATAATGGGGCTATCAATCATGTTACCAATCGAAATGATCTCTTTCAGACCTTCAAATATTTCAAGAGCCGTCATACAGTGACTGGCGCGAATGGCCAATATATTGAAGCCCTAGGCATCGGAAATATTCTTGCAGAGGCTGATGTAAACGGAAATGCAATACCGATACTACTGAAGAATGTCTGGTACGTACCCAGCATTAGCAGGAATTTATTTTCAGTACTTGCAACCCACGACATATCTGACAACAGTGTTTTTGAATCTACCACACTAAAATGTACACTAAAGATTGATGGACAGGTAAAGCTGATTGGCACCCGCAGCAAGTTTGGAGGACTCTTTAAAATTAATATAAGATGTCTGGAACCAACTGTACGAGTCAATCAGGTGTCCACAAACACAAATTTGTTACAGCTATATCATGAAAGATTTGGACATCAAAATAAAAGCCATGTGAAGAAGGTGATTGAAAATGAGTTTCATATAAAAGTACCAGTAACCAAGGAACTCTGTGAAGGTTGCATCTATGGCAAATCCCATAGACTTAAGTTTGGGACCCGAGAGAAAGCAACGAGACCTGGAGAACTTGTATATACTGATGTTTGTGGACCCTTCCCATATTCTATCACAAAGTTGCGATATTTTGTTCTCTTCAAAGATGATTATACAAGGTACAGATTTGTGTATTTTATGAGGGAAAAAGCTGAAGTACACGCGAAATTGCTACTTATGCTTACTGAAGTAAAAGCATCAGGAGTTGTCATAAAAGAACTTCTTAGCGACAACGGTGGTGAGTTTGTCAACGCGAAGGTACAAGCTACTCTCAAGAAGGAAGGTATTGTGCAAAGATTGACAATGCCCTATACGCCACAACAAAATCCAACAGAGCGAGACAACAGGACCGTTGTGGAAATGGCGCGGAGTCTAATGTACGCACATGCAAAAATTCCTCCTGCACTTTGGGCTGAAATGATATCTGCTGCGGTGTACATCTTAAACAGAACAGGCCCAACCTCTGTGGATGGAAAATCACCGTATGAGTTATGGCACCAGAAGAAACCCAGACTGAGTCATTTAAGAATAATAGGATCCATTTGTTATCCACATGTTCCCAAGCAAAGACGAAAGAAGTTAGACAAGAAGGCACAAAAAGGAATATTAATTGGATATGACTCTGACAATGGCTACCGTATTTGGGACAGCAACTCTTTCAAACTGATTCGTTCCAGAGATGTCACTTTTAATGAGAATCCTTTATTGGGTCACTTTGAAGAGATTGACGAGCCTGTTGCCAATCAGAACAAAACTGCTGATAAAAATTCCAACACCCTGTTTGACTTCGTCATTCCTCGTCAGCATGAATGTTACACGCCGGCCGACACGAGCAACATCCAGCAGACATTGACAAGTCATGATGAAAGTATCGCATCGTCTTCTCAGCAAGATGAACATGCTGCTGAATCATCATGTGCAGAGATTGAAACTGCGAGTGAAGATGACGTGCCAGAGGCTGAAACATTTTTAGAGGCGGAGGAATCCTTTTACGAGCCTATATCCGAAGAAGAGGTTAGCGATGTAATCGAGACAGATCGTCAAGTCAACGATATAAATGAATCGAGGCCAGACCGTAGAGACGATTCGTCTTTATCTGCATCTGAGATCGAGGCTGAAGGCAGGATGACGCTACGAGACCGATCAAATCTCAGGCCACCGGCTAGATACAAAGACTTCATTTGCAACATTTGTATGAATGGCAATTCGATAAGCGATGAAAATCGAAAAGAGCCAAGTACATTTCAAGAAGTGATGGCATCTAAAGATTTTGATGAATGGAAAAAGGCAATGGATAATGAAATTAATTCTCTAAAAGAAAATGAAACATGGGAAATGGTAGATTTACCCAAGGGCAGAAAAGCGATCTCAAGCAAGTGGATTTTTAAGATCAAGACGAATCCTGACGGATCGATTGATAAATACAAAGCCAGACTTGTAATAAGAGGTTTTTCACAGAAGAAGGGTTTAGATTATTATGAAACCTTTAGTCCTGTTGCAAAGACAAGTACCATAAGAGCATTACTCAGTATAGCTGCTCAAGAAAATCTCTCTCTATGTCAGTTCGACGTTTCAACTGCCTTTCTATATGGCAAATTGAAAGAGGATATTTATATGAAGCCTCCAGAAGGATATTCAAACAATGATGGTAAAGTTTGCAAACTTAAACGAAGTCTCTATGGACTTAAACAAGCACCGAGGTGCTGGAACTCTACTATTACTGAGCACATCCTCAAAGTTGGCTTCATACAGAGTGAGGGTGACCCCTGCTTGTTTAAAAGAGAGGGAAAGAACAAGTTATTAATAGCTTTATATGTTGATGACGGATTGATAGCGTCAGCAAGTTCAAAAGAAACTGAAAAGTTTTTGGACGAAATGCGTCAACGCTTCAAAATCACAACGAAATGCGGTTCCTATTTTCTTGGAATTGAAATAGAACGTAAAGTTGATGGGTCAATCAAAATTGATCAAAAGAGCTATGCAAAGAAGCTGTGGCGGAAGCTTATTCCGACACCGTCACTGGATGAGCGGAATCGCTCCGCTCATGCCACTTAGACCACAACCAAGAAACATACGATGTTTACTGCAGACGGCTGGCGCCAATGCGCCCGCGCACCGATATCGGCGCGCCACCACCACATAACGCTTTCGACTTGCTTGGAGCTTATACGCGTCGCGATAACATATGTTATTCGTATACCTGTGCTTATTTTGTATGTGCTAAATTCTCCTGTATTTACTTTGCTAATATAATTTCATTTCTTCCTTAATAATAATATTATTCATTCTGCTTTCAAACCTTCATTCATTCTTCCTACTTACTATCGCTCGCTTACTTAGTGCTATCACGCGGGTTCGATACCCGAACGTTGTTAGTGTAGGCTAACCTAGCCGAGCACTACATTGGTGACCCCGACGTGATCACCGCGATCACAGTATACCGCGATTCTGCGTTTCGGTCGTCGTGTCAGCCGTGCCTGAGCGAATAACCTGGAAGAAGACCTGTGTCTCGGTGGAACTCAAGCAACGAAGAGGAATCGAAGTCGTAAGCATATTGTGTTGTTTACGTGATAACGGAAGGTTGGTGTATGGTCCAAGTGGTGAGTGATCTTACATTATTTTAATATGTCTGAGTCAGACGAATATACCGAGGCTGTAACTCCTGGTGTCCTCAGAGTAGGCGTCAGAATACCGCCATTTTGGC